TAGGGAAAAAATACTCAAAGAAGAATTTGTGAATATAAAATGACAAAAAGTACACCACTAATTATAATATTTAGAATCTACACTATTAAAAGTCAGGATGGAAATAACTGAATTATAATAAGTCACTTGCTAATTATTCAGTTTATGGATTTCCAGTGTCATTTGCTCAGCACTTCTCTTCCTTAGCAAGGTTTTAGTATCATTTGACTCCCCATAACACCTGCAGAAGCTATTGTATGCTGATAACTGACCATAAATTGTACATGTGGAGAGACACATAAGAGATTAAGACTCAGGATTCATGCTGTGTTGCTGGCTGAGATTAAACAATGGCTGTTAGCACTACAACTGAGGATTTTTCAGGGGCAATGCAGAGCAGAGAGTAGTTATAATTCTGTTGACTACTTAGCATGCTATCTATAGCTTGGTGAAGAAATAGATGCATAAATCATGAAGGTCACTTGTCCACTAAAGAAAGAGATAGTGTATCATCACACTCTTCAGGTGTTAGATGTGTTCTCCTATGGGTACAATCCAGGGGTTCTCAGCTATGACTGCGTACTGGAGCCACCTGGGCTTTAATCTCACTGGCGTTCAGATTCAATATCTAAACTGAATCTGGGTCTCTGAGGCTGGGCCCCAGGCAGTGTTACATTGGAGAATCTTTCAGGTGATTCTGTGTTCAGTGAGGTTTGAAAATCTTCAATCTAATCAATAAATAAGTGTTACCATTTACAGGTCTTACTATGCACACATGACTGCTGAAAATTTCTTCCACACAGGAAATTAATGCTTGGAGAAATGTTAAGTGCTTAATGTCTTTCCATAAAGTAGAGTTTCACATCCAGTGTATTTGTTTCAGTACTAAGGCTTTTGAACTTATTTTGAACATGACTCAAGACAGAATTTACATCATAGCTCAGAACAAATATGATAATGAAACAAATATTAACAAACAATGTTCTAAAGTAGAATATAGGCTGATATCTGATTTTGTTTAATTAAAATGATAATGGTTGGGGCTGGGGATGTAGAAGTGTAGGGGCTTGCCTATCATGTATGAAGCCTTAGTTTGATCCTCAGCACTGCAAAAAGACAAGCAATAAGAACAACAAAGAAACAACACAGCAGAGAACAACAGTGGTTAATAAGTGAAATTTCATAACTTAGTGTTGAGAAACCTCTAAATCATGACAGTTCAGGATCCTTTCCATTTCAACAAATGGCAATATCTTTTTTTTCCCATCAATGTCTTCTCATTTTCTGTTTTCACTTGAAAAGCTCCTTTATCTCTCTCTCTTTTTTTTTTTTTTTTTTTGACAAGGTCTTGCTGTGTAGTTCAGACTGGACTTGAACTTGCAATGGTACATAGTCCCTGCTGCTCTCAAACATGCAGTGATCATCCTGCCTGTCTCCAGAGTGCTGGGATTAGACTTGGGCCACCATCCCTGGCTTATCTTTGAGTTTTTAAGATGCTATAAAGTTGCTTCTTTGATAAAAAATGTTTCTAAGACTAGTCTATAGTATCTCCAATTACAATGCCTATTTTAAAACATAGCATTCATCACAATTTTTTCACACAAAATTATATTATATATTGTGATGCTCTGTAATTGTTTTATGTTTTAGATAGTTCCTTGACTAATTTTAATATCTTTGAAAACAGTGACTATGTTCTATGCTTTTGCTTCTGTCTGCTTGGAGTTAGGCACATTACAAATGCTAAGAACAGGTGGACAGACCTACACAAGTCAACCATTGAAGCTTTCATTTCTTGGACCCAATCCTAGTGCCCAGGAGGAGGCTGCCTGCCGCCATTCCACTGCTCGCTCCTAGGGCAGAGAAGGTGAGCCAATCCCAGCACCCAGGAGGAGGCTCCCCACTGCCATTCCACTGCTCGCTCCTAGGGCAGAGGAGGTGAGCCTTGTGGGTGCCAGCAGCACCCACCCCCCACCCCCCGTGGAAATGAGAAGACACGTAAACAAGCTTCAAAAACAGACTTCCAGATCACCTACAGCAACCCCAAAGGGAAACAAGATGGAACAATCTGATACTCAACCACCTGGATTCCCTGAACTGGCAACAAAAAAGGATCTGGAAAAAATGAAATCTGAAATAATTTCTCAGATAACAGCAAAGATTGTGCCCATAGTGCAAGACATGATTAATAAATCTAGAGAGGACACAGATGAAAAAATAGAGGATCTGAGGAACATGATGGAATCCCAACATAGGAAACAAATGGAATCCATAAAACAGATGCAAACAGATTTCCAGGAGATTCAAAACTCCATTGAAAGTCTACACAGCAGAATGAGAGCATGTGAGGACAGAATTTCAGATATAGAAGATAAGATTGCAATTAGTGACCAGTAAAAGAAAAATTGCTTTAAAATTGTAAGGAACCACGAGAAATCAATCCAGCAGCTGTTCGACGATGCAAAGAAGAATAACATAAGACTGATTGGAGTCAATGAAGAAACAGGAGAGAGTGCAGATGACATAAAAAACTGTTCACAGAAGTGATGGCAGAAAACTTCCCAAGCAGGGGAAAAGAACTTGACATATAGATAAGTGAGGCATACAGGACTCCAACTAGCCTTGATCAAAAAAAATCTACACATAGGCATATAATTGTTAGGATTCCAGAAACCCAACAGAAGAACAAACTTCTACAAGCAGTGAGAGAAAAGAAACAAGTCACATATGAAGCTTTCATTTCTTTATCCCTGAAATTAAGAGGATGTTTGAGATTATTCTAAAGTATTTTATGTCTATTTTTATATGATATATATGGAATTCTACAGAATGTACAAATGAAGGAAGAAAAATACAAAATTTCTAAAATTAGCAACTACAAGAAAGGTTCCTGTGTGGGAAGAAAAAAGGCAAAACCTAGCATTTTGGATAGGCACATTATAACATCCTCCATGCTATCTCTGAAAACATAAAGACATTACTGAAGTATAATAATGAAGTTGAGCTCTGTGGCACTTGAATACTGACAAATGATTTTAATGGGCTACATTTTTTTTTTCAAACTCAATGAATATATGTAAAAAGGAATTTCTGTGAACTCTTATCAAGTTCTTATCAATTGATTACATAACACAAGACTTACAATGATTATGGGGTTAGGTTACCATAATTTAGATGGAAAATCATAAATAGTTTGTTTTAGATATTATTTGGAAGTAGTTTTAAAAGTATCTCCTGAGGTCTAAGGACATGGATGTCTGGTTCAATTACTTATAAGTCTGTGACCATCAGCATTCTTATTCTTCTGATCTTGAGATTACTGGTAAAGGAGCCAGATGTAGGCAGTCCCTTTGTGGTGGTAGTGGTCATGGTTGATGTGGTGTGTGTTGGAGAATAGAGGGCAGTAGCAGACATCTGTGGTTCTCATCTACTCAAATTTTCTTTTCTTTCTTTCTTTCTTTCATTTTCTTTTTTTTGGGGGGTACCAGGGATATTTCTTTCTTAATAATACCTTAATTGCCCTTTGGGAAATTTTCTCTTCCACTAGTTTATCTGGTTTGGATGTATGGGAGAATGGGAAACTAAAGCTATTTTCCTTGAGGTTTTTCAGATCTAGGCAAATGACTCTAGCCTGAGTGTTACAATGGTTGGTTCAGAGGTGAGCACAGGATCCAAGTGAGTCCAGTGAAAATGATCCTTGGCCTGTGCTCTTGCAGAGGGATCAATTGCTAAAGAGATTAGAGGTAAGCCTGGAGGCGTAGGTTTTGCCCCTGTTTAGAGAAAACAGAACCAGTGCAATTAAAGCACAGCCAAGATATGGGGGGAAACTGAGTCCTGACACTCTTGGAGCATCTGGAGGAAAAACAAGAATTTTTAAAAATACTTTTGTTGTTGTTGTTACTTTTTTTTTTTTTCTGCCAGCTCTACTCTTGGGATTTATAAATATATCAGCCAAATAAATTCCAACCCCCTCTGCTGTAGGTTTTAAGTCAGTTTGAATTGGGTGCCTATTCACACCCAACTATCCTAACTATATAAGAGCTTATAAAACCAAGATATCTTCACTCTTGCTTATTGTTAACCTCTTTTTCTGCCTTAATCTCCTGCTTTTAGAGAGCTCAGGGCTTGTTTACTTTCCGTATGGTAACAGAAGTTGCTCTAGTCTTTTGTACATTCTCTCTGTTTCTCTTCCTCCACAAGTTCAACACAAACACTTGTTTCACAGCTGCAGTAGGCATGAGAGGATGAACTGGGATGTAATGGCCCATGCATGTGACTTTGTGTCAATTAGAAAATTCCACGCCCTCTGAGTGCCATGCTAGGACTGGTGCTTTGGAGCCCATACTTGATCTTAACCCCAAATCGCCTACTACCTCAGTGAGAAAACACAGGGCAGTGTAAAAACATTACCACATCATGCTGAGGCTCCACAGTACTAAGTAACAAGGGTTGGAGATACGAGGTAGGAAAACAAGCCCGTGGACATTGGTGGACCCTATGTTGCTCAACACCCTTACTGTGGTCTACTACTTGGGTCATGATAACTGCTGATGTTGTGAACCTCCTGAGCAAACTCACTTTTTGCTGTAGCCTCAGCAGTTTTCACAAAAGTTGATGATAGATGGAAAAACAGTAACATTTGTCAGTTGAAAGCAACATTTCAAAAGTAGCATTGTTTAGATCTTAAGGCAGGTTCTTTTTTGAGGGCTTGAATTCAGTTTAAGGACAATTTTAGTTCGTGAAAGTAAATGGTTCTAGAAATCCACGTAGAGGCCATCTAGCAAATGGCCATTGATAGAGAACACAAAATAGGACAAACTCTTCCGCCACACCTTGGGGTTCGGCGTGTTTCAGGGGACCCTGCTAGTGTTCAGTTTACCACTGTCTTAGGTGAGATTTTCATTACCGTCGGAGGTGAGAATAAATAACCAGGGAGGGGAGGCAAGCAGCCTAGGGCAACGCAGTAATTCCACTGGCTGTCGCCGCAGGGCTCCGGGGTAACAAAGGCACAATTAGAGGCCAAATTCCGGGGCGGAGTGGGGCACAGGAACTTGCCCTATCCGCGGTGCTTTTTCCCAAGCAGAGGTCCGACCCCACCACCTTGGGTAGGCGGAGGAGCCGGAAAAGGGCCAGTGAGCAACCTAGTTACTTCTGGGGCGGTGGCCTCCTGGGCTCTCCAGTCTACTCTTGCCCTTCCCCCTGGCCTCCTGCCCTCTCCTACCCCCCATCCTCCTTCCTTCTCCTCCCTCCTCCCCGCCTAAAAGTGGGCCGGCGCCTTTAAGAGGGTGCTTTGGTTACCCCGGGGGCGGGAGCCTCGGCTGCTAGCAGGGCGGAGGCGCCGGTCGCGATGCTCCTCACTTTCGGCTCCCGCGCGCATCGCCGCCTCGCCATCCTTATCCTCTGCGGGGAAGCGTCGTTCTCTGCAGCGGAGGAGAGAAGTGCTATGTCCGGAAAGTTCCGGGAGGGACGCGACGGGGCAGCGCTCCCCGGCCAGCGCGCGGCCCTCGGCCTGAGGTGAGGGGGGGTCCGGCCGGGGCGGGAAGGGGGCGCGGCTGGGTGGAAGCGGACTGGAGCCGGAGTCGGCTGGGCCCGAGTGAGTTTCGCCGCCCAGGCGTCCGCCGCTGAGCGGGAGTTGTTCCCGCAGCCGGCGCCTCCCAGGGGGGCCCTGCGGGAACTCGGTTTCCCCGTGCTTCGGCGGCCGGGCCTTCTAGGAAAGCGGTCGGCTGCGCGGCTCTCCTGCGCCGGGCCGCTGGCTCGGAGCCGGGCGGTGAGCGGGAGGAGGGGCGGGTTTCCCCAACTTTTCCGCCGCGGTCGCGGTGCTGGGCTCTCGGAGAGCTCCAGCTGTTCTGAGAGCTGCCCTCCGAGCTTGGTCCAGCTTGCGGCGCTGTGTGCCTGTCTTTCAGCTTCGGCAGGTCTTCAGCGTCATCCTGATTTTAGCTCCCTCCCCCTTATTTTAGGAAACATTTTTTTTCTTAAAAAAATCCTGGATACTAAAAACAAAACAAAGCCCAAAAAAGCCCCCAAACCTTCAACAACATACCTTTGTGAAAAATTATCCTAACACATGTGTCTCATGGGTAAAGGAAGCCCATATATTCACACTCAAGGTCTCTGTTACTCCTGTATCTCCATTTCTCCCTTTTCCATACATAGGAATATAAGTCTGATGTCAGCCATAAATAAAAAGTACAGATGGAAAGTCCCTATAATTTGTCAAGTGTTGCATGGTTAGAATTTTAGTGACACAGTTTCTACAATCATCCATATCACTTTGAACAATAAAAATAGAATGTGAGAGTTTTAAAGAAAAGAGTGCCAAAAAGTGTTTAAAGTAAAATTCACAGGCATATGCTTTACATATAATTTTGTGTGTGAAAGATACATACAACTAAAATAGTTGGGAAATAGTGTAGAAAACATCTTATTTGTATTGGTGAAATTTTGAAAAAAAATTGAAGAATAACCCTTAATATTGTAAAGTTTTGTTTGGGACACAGATTTTTATCTGAGTATATGTTGGTCACTTTGCTGTCAAAACTGAAATTTTAATAAAGAATTCAGTTTCTCAAGCATTTCTGAAAAATGTGCAGCATCCTGAACAGTTTTGGAGAAAAATTTGCTTAGAATAGTCACATACTTAAAAATCCTACCTGCAGTTGCCATTGTACCTTAAGTTTACTGAACTGCAGGCGAGAAGGGAAGAATTTGAGTTCTAAGGTGGTTGTGATGTGACTTAGTTCCTGAATTGTCTTGATTAATGTGAATACCTTAAATTTATGTAGGTTTATTTGCTTTGGAATGATTGTTTTATGAATGATTGTTTTTGAAACACACACACACACACGCACACACACACACAGGTTTATATAGGCCCTACAATCCCTGTTACAGATAACATCTATGTCAGTTATCTAACTTTAGTGAGGAAAACCATTCAGGGACTTGATGATACATGTACACTAAGAACAGCAGGTCTAAAAGATCAGAAGTTAAAAATAGTTCTTGTTAGAGCTTGTCATCTTTTCAGCATTTTACTTTCTATCAGTTAAGTTAAATGATACTCTTTTCTGGTGTGTTCTGGAACTCTTAAAAAGCTTGGACCAGGGAGACATATGCCAAGATCTTTTGCACACATTTATCTGTTAAGATGAATGAATCTCCACAACAGTGGGTGATTGAAGTCAATGATTGAAGATGATTGATTCTTAAGTTTCTTTAGTTTATCTTTGGTAAGCAAATCTCTGTTCACTTATCAATATAGTGTTTTCTTTTACCTTCAAAAATGACATTCAGGGCATTGTCTTTAAGTGTAGTACTTAGAGAATAAATATCAAAGGTATGAGAGTCAAACCTTGTGGAAGTTCTGGTGCAGAACTTTATGGACCCTTTTTTAAGCGTTATTTCATTTGAGAGGACTCATTGATGCTTGGGAAAATAATACTTCTAATATAATGCTTCGGTTATTATAAGGTTATTTTTATATGGTTATTATAAGGTCTCATATAATGCTGCCTTATTCACTTTTGGACTATTTTCTTTTTTTGTTTGTTTGTTTGTTTTGGTACTGGGGATCGAACTCGGGTCCTTGCGCTTGCACAGCAGGCGGTGAAACCACTGATCTAAATCCCCGGTCTGATGGACTATTTCTTAATCACATCTCGCAGTCGAACCTACTGTATTTCAGCATATGTATGAAAATTAGAAATGAAGTGAATAATCTGTTAGACTGATTTTTGCTTTAGTTTGTTAGGTCTTTCCTGGAAATATACTTATATTTGCTACAAATTCCCTTTGTTGCAGGTGGCCTCCACTATACACTGTTTTTGGAACTATGACATGTATATTTAGGATGAGTTCTTAGTGTTTATTTGAAACACATTAATGACTTTTAGAGTTTATATTATGTCTCTTCAGTTTTTGAAAAATAACGTTTGAGATGTTTGATTTTGAGCCTGAGAACACAGACTTATGAAGTGAATGGGATCTTGGTCAACTACAGTGTCAGTTTCATGGGAATTTTCTGTTTGAGGTCAGATGTGCCTTTAATTTGAACTGGATGATCCACAAAATCAGTACTTTAGCAACCAAAAACATGGAGAACATTCCACATAATTTGCGGTGTGAGCAGCCCAACATACTTTAGTGTTTAGTTGGCTTGAGGCAGTGTGCCATGCTTGTAAAAAAAAGAAATGGTTTCTGAAGCTGACAGCAAGCTGTTTCAGTCACTGAGTTTGACACATAGGATAAAATGCCTTTTTTGCCTGTATGCAAATAAATATGGACAGGATTGTGAAAGACAGTTTGTGTTCATTTCGGTTTGTATGAGAGAAGATTCAGAAAACTCAAGAATGAAACTAATATACTGGTAGCTCATTCATATTCATTATAAATGTAAAGAAGAGCTAGACAGATTGGATTTTAACAACTCTCAGGCCTTAGGCAAAAGTCTATTTGCAGTTAGGAGGAGAAGCTATGGTCTCTATTGAAATTAATAATAGCACTATTATTACCAATATTTCCTCTGAATGATAATGCTAAAGAAATTATGTTCTTCCAAGTCCAATTTAGATTTAAAGCATCCCCAGTCAAATACTGTACCAGTCATCTGGAGTAATTGATTGTTAGATAATTTTCAGTGAAACCATCGTTGATCTTTTTAGTTTTATGCTTTACATATCCTTTTAGGAGTTCTGACCACAGCTTCTTAGTTAACTTTTTTCTCTCATTTAATTTAGTTTATTCTGTATCATTAAAACATTCAAAAACTACTTTAGACAGTTCTGTTATGTGAAAGCTTCTAAGAATCTGCCTTGGGGGTACTGGTGCGGAAGGTACAGGTTACATTCTAACTGTTACCTCCCAAAAGGATGTGTTCTCACTTCTTTTTTTTTTAAAAAAAAAAACAGAAACAATTCTATAAGTAATTTTAGAGAAAGATCATTCATAGACATTTAAAGATGCCTAAAGTTTGGACCAGAATAAGGGTTTCAAATGAAAATTATCCAAGAATCAGTTAACATTTATGCCAAGTATTTGGTTCTGTATCTCTGGCTGAGGCTGTCTACTACAAGTTTTTTGCTCTAAATTGGTCCTGAGAGGATGAGAATACACATGGAGGTGGATTGGGAAGGGGGTATTCTATGTATAGCATCATTACTTTCCAGAAGGAATTGTCTTTACCTGAGTATATACTTATAAAATCCATTCTTTGGATCTTTTAGCTTATTTTTTGCATTTTCTCCAGGTTGTATGTAGTCCATCTACTTCATTTTGATTAAATTTACATAAACCAGGATGCCATCTAAAATTTCACATGGTCTAGCACTAGTAAGAAGTCTGTTTTTGAATTCTCTGAGCCTATTCCCACGCAGTACTTCTTTGCATGCTGTTTTTCATTATTTGTTTCTTTAATCATGTATTATGAGGTTTGAATTTAAGGTTTCCCCCTTTGATGATGCTGGTAACTTCTTATTTTTGTTTTTGTATTTCATGTATAGTTGCCACTGTAAGATTTCAAATCTTTATTCTCACATGATAGTAGATATTTTTTCTTATTATGGAAATGATACATGTTCATTACAGACAATTTAGAAAATCCAAACAAGAAAATTTAAAAAGGAAAGAATTATGCTGAGTTAACAATTGTTAAGTGTTTTGTTGTATATTGTTATAAACATGTAAGATAATTTTTAAATTTCTAAAAGCAGCACTTTACTATATATGTTGCTTTGTAATTTTCATATAAAGATGAACCACTTTTTATGTAATGAAATGATGTTCAACATTTTAAGCACTGGATACTATTATCATTATGTATTGAGGATATACCATTATATCAGACAAGTTGTTTCCTTTTTGTCTTTGCTTCTATGCATGAGTGACTTTCTTATATAGCTCAACATTTTTCAGAAATGCTGCGCACTTTTCCCTGCTTGGGAAACCGCGCTGGGTCCCAGGGGCGGGGGTGGCTAGGCGCGCAGCCAGAGGTCGCTCTGAGCTGGCACCCAGTGTCCCTGGGAGGAGAGGACGGAGAACCGAGCCAGAGGGATCGCTGGCCCAGAAAGGAGTCAGACTGGACACGGAACCCAGCCCCTTCCCCGACAGAGCTACTTCCACCGAGAAACAACATTTATCAAAGTTCCTTCATCAAGAATTCATGATTGACCTCCCAAATTTAAAGACCCAATCCAAACATGGGCATCTGAATGAACAGACATTTCTCAGACAAAGAAGTAAAAGCAGCAAATAAACATATGAAAAAATGTTCAACATCACCAGTCATCCAAGAGATGCGAATGAAAACAACACTGAGATTCCACCTCACTCTAGAAAGAATGGCTGCTATCATGAAATCAACCAATAACAAATGCTGGCGGGGCTGTGGGGAAAGAGGAACCCTGCTCCACTGCTGGTGGGAGTGTAGACTGGTGCAACCACTGTGGAAATCAGTATGGAGATACCTCAAAGAACTAGGACTGGAAGTCCCATTTGACCCTGCTATTCCACTGCTGGGG